GGGAGAGAGGAGAGAGAGAGGGCAAGAGAGGGAGGGGAGAGAGAGGGAGACAGATCAATCTGTGGTGCCAACCAAGGTTCCAGATTAGTGGCCTTAAACTGCTAGAGGTCAGGGCCAGTTCCACCCACGCAGCCCTGCCCAGTGGGGCAGAGGTTCATGGGCAGGGCCACAGGACACTCACCCAAGAGAAGCAGGAACCTGGGAAAGGTCGTTGCCCCCCAAACTGGTATCCGGAACACAGTGTGCACCTCCCAGGGAAGTACCAAGTCTTGGGATTCCTCTAACAGCCTTCTGTGAGCCTGAGGCTCGAATCAAGGAATTCTCAACATTGCCAGAGGAGGAGGCGCTCTGGAGGGATGCAGAATTCTAGCTATTTGACTAGTGGGCGAGGCCGAGGTCAGCAGCCTCTCACATGTGTCGCCTATGAGGGCATGGACACGCCCTCGACGCTGCTTGTCCAGCCTGGGGCACGCAGCACGTTCCCCGCCCTCCCAGTGACTTTTGCCGCAGAGGGACATTAGCTCCTCTTTCTCCAGGGCCCTCTGGATTCCGCCCCTTTCTTAGGGCCAACAGGGAACTCCGTACCTCTGGCTCCCCCCAGCGGCCATGGAGCGCAAGCACCCTGAAAGCTCTCCCGGCCAGACTCCTCCCGGCGTGCTGGCAGGAGAGAAGAGCGCAAGCGCCAAAGAGTCAGGCCGGAAGCGCCGGGGAGAGATTTCTTCCGATTTGAGCCCAGCGCTGGGGAGTGGTCAGGGCATCTATCCTATGGGCGTCCGGGGCGGTGTCAGAACCTGCTTGAGGATCCAGTGGAATTGCGGGAGGCGGGACCCACTAGGAGGTAGGAGCCTATCAGGGCGCAGGGTCTTGCCATGCGGCCTAGGGTTCTAGCTCCCATGTGAGCTTTCCAGCGGCTGCTACGGAGAACTAGGTGGGCAGCATGTCGGCTACTGTGGCAGCTCGAAAGCGGGGAAAGCCGGCCTCCGGGGTCGGGGCCGCTGCAGGGGCTGGCAAACGGCGGCGAAAGGTGAGGATGGCGTTTCCATGGATCGCAGCCTGTTACTGAGACAACTGCCGTCGGATTCCGCGGAATCCGAACCCGGTCCCCTCCCCAGTTTTGGAGTCAGCTCTCTCTGCCCGCCAAATCCTGGAAAGCTTGACCAGGGCCGGGAGCCACCACCTCTCCCAGTGCTGGACGCGCAAAGAACCAAAGGGTCCTTGGTCAGTGCTGGGGTAGTTGGGATCCGACCAAAAGGATCATATATTCAATTCCCAGGTCGACTCTGCGGGGAACAGGGGCAAGTCCAAAGGCGGTGGCAAGATGAATGAAGAGATCTCCAGCGACTCTGAGAGTGAGAGGTGAGCTGCCTTTCCCACTTAGTGAAAGGGGAAACTGAGGCCCACGTGGATAACTAGGCCGAAACCTAGGACTCTGATCTTTCGCACTCAAATCAGGGCGCTTTCATCCAATTTTGGGCCCTGAGAAGTCTCTGGCCCCAGTCGGAGACCACTGAGACTTCCTTGTCTTATGACAGGAACTCAAGCACAGGGCTAGATTGACACGCAAAGGGAGACAGATGAAAGACATGTTAGAGTTTCATTCTCTTTTCCTCGTAGAGTCACAATTAGCGATCTTCCTATTTTCTTTTCTTTTTCTTTCTTTTCTTGAGACGGGGTCTCACTGTGTAGCTCCCCTAGGTTCAAGTGCTTGTCCCACTCAGCCTCCTGGGTATGCTAGGTAACAAGGACTAAGGGTGCGCCAGGGCCTTCTTCAGCTCTTTAACGTGCTAGACCTTAGCTTCACTGTTGGAAGTAGAGAACGTGTGTAGTGAGAAGCATCTTACAGCAATGTGTTTTGGGAACAGAGAGTCTCCACGGAGAGGTTACACAGCATTCAGAGATCAGAAAAAAAAGTTTGAGGTGTCACTGTGGCAGAATGGGAGGTGGGGAAGATGGAAGGGCGGGTGCTGGGTGCATCCAGAACACTGAAGGCTTTGAATGTTTCCCTCATTTCTGCAGGTGATGGGAGGCTCAGGGTTTCAAAAGGACCTACAAGGTGATATCCTTGTAGGGTGAGGGCTGTCAGTCCAGGGAATCCTGGTGACTTCTTAATGAGTTGATTTAGAAATTCTGGCTGTCCCCCATGTTTGGGGTTGGTTGTCATCTTGGAATCTACTGTACTGCTCTCTGTTGTATTTCTTGCTTCTGGTACCCTATGCCTTCCTCCTTCACTCTTGTTTGGGTAGCACATTCCCTATCCATACTAAGAAAGAACTGGTTCTACATCTCCTTATATATCTGACAGTTTCTTTTTTGGTGCTGAGAATTGAGCCGAGGACATTGTGCACTGTGCCCACGCTCTACCATGAGCTACACACCCCTAGCCCCTGATACTGTCTTCATTTTTCATGATGCTTTCATTGGGGAAGGTATTCTAGGGGTTGGCATGTTCCTTCAGAATTTTGTCTTCTATTGCAACTGAGATATCTGAAGCCATACTTATTCTTGGTCCTTTGGTTGTGACATGGTTTCTCTTGGAAGCCTGCAGACTTTGTATTTCCCCAAGAGTTAAGAAATTTCACAGTGACCTTTGGGGTTTGAGTCTGTTCTCATTCTTAACTCCAGTCATGGAGTGGGGCATTTCAGGTTGGTGAGTTACATCTTTTGGTTTTCTACACATGTGATCCTTTGCCCTGAGGGCTGGCAGTGATGGGCAAGGTTGAATGTCAGGAGAGCATCAAAGAGGTATGTTCCTTGTAGCCAGAGAGGTAGAATAAGCCCCACAGACCTGGCCCCTTATTGCCCACAGCCTGGCTCCAAAGAGGACTGAGGAGGAGGAGGAAGAGGAGGAGCTGGCGGAAACTGCCCAGGAGAAGAAGCTGCGCTTGGCTAAGCTTTACCTTGAGCAGCTGAGGCAGCAGGGTGAGTCGTGGGCAGGCCAGGCAAGGGCTAGGGCCTGTGCCAAAACCTGCTTCCCCTGCTGCAGCCTCAGACACCTGATGGATGGGTCACTGGCACAGGTGCCCAGTAGCTGCCTGGGCTCCTGGAGCTGCCTGCTTGGTGGGGGTGGCCAGACCCACAGGTGGCTTTGGACTGATGTCATAAGTGAAGGTGGGAGGGAATGGTCCACCCTTCCCTCCCTTCTGCTGAGGCAGCCTGAATATCTTACAGGACACAGGCCAGGCATTCAGGGCCCAGCCCCAGGGTGGAGGAGTGGGATGAGCTGAGGGAAAGGGGGACCTAGGTCTTGGTTTACTTGATTTATTGTACAGAGGAGGAGAAGGCTGAGACTCAAGCGTTTGAAGAGGACCAAGTAGCAGGGCGCCTGAAAGAGGATGTGGTGAGTGTGGAGGGAGGGTGGAGGAGGGGGAAGGCTGGTCCTGTCCCCAGGTCCTTCCTGAATCCTGTTTTCTGCATGCAGCTTGAGCAGAGGGGCAGGCTGCAGAAGTCAGTGGCAAAGGAGGTGAGTGCATAGGGTGCTTTGGTGTGAGGTCGAGGGAGTTGGCAGCCCCTCCTGGGTTGGCGGGCAAATGACCCAGTAGGGGCTCAGGCTGTGGGTGTCTTCGTTCTGGAACACAGTGAGTACCTGGTCAGATGTGGTCAGGTAAGGTCTTGTCCTTGCAGACCAGGTCCTACTTTCCTGCTGGGCAGAGTGGGTGGGAAAGGATGGTATGGGAGGGAGTTGCCTTTATGCCCCCAGCCATAATGACCCAGCCCCTGCCTGCCCAGATCCAGACTCCAGGCCCAGCCGATATTCAGGTCTTACGGGGCCACCAGCTCTCCATCACGTGTTTGGTGATCACCCCTGATGACTTGGCCATCTTCTCTGCTGCCAAAGACTGCACTATCATTAAGTGTAAGTGGGCCCCCGTGTGGGTGCAGTCCCTGGGGCATTGGGGGCTGGTCTGGGAAGAGGGAGCCCTGCCAGGGGACAGGTCTGCTACTGTGTTTCTGGGTGACATCCACCGTGGGTCTGTGAGCTCTGTGACAGTTGAGACCATGAGCAAAAGCAAAATGACGATTAATAGCAGTTGAAGCGGAAGCTGTGACTGGGGAGTTGGACGAGAAGATGTTTGAGGCACGGCACAGACCTGTGCTTGAGTCCTTGGTCCTTCTGGGTTCCCAGCCCTTGACATCTGATCACAGCTTTCCTCCATCTACCATGACCATAGGAAGAACTGATACCGTTAATCTTGAAGTGTTTTTTTGTTTTGTGGCACCAGGAATGGAATCGTGAATCTTACGCATGCTAGGCAAGCTATACCCCCCAACCCCTAACGTACTTTTTTTTTGTTGATTTTTGAGACAGGGTCTCACTATGTAGTTGAATCTGATCTTGACTTCACTGCATAGCCCAGGCTAGCCTTGAACTCATGGCAGGCCTCCTGCCTCAGCCTCTTGAGTGC